TCCCAAAAAATTATACGTGTTTTGGAAATGTTGAGTGGAATTAGTCTAGAATCGGTTAATTTTATAGAAGAAAACCTTTCGAACAGCCTTAGTCCGTAAAGTTCCCACCTATCGGGCTGCGATTGGCTCACTCCTACAACGTAATTTTCGGTTAGCGTGGAACGTATCTAAGCGTTATAGGGGGGTCTACTGTATATGTCATTTCACCAAAGTGTAAACAACTTATTTTTTCATTGTGTTAAACATGTCTAGTTTTGTGCCAAAAAAAGAGTATTTGCGGGGAATTTTATTGCACTATTTTATTCAAAAAAAATCTGCAGCCTGAAGCACACAGAATTCTTGTTGAGACTTACGGTGACCATGCTCTGTCGGAAACAACATGCAGAGATTGGTTTAGACGCTTCAAAAATAATGATTTTGATGCTGAAGATAAAGAACGATCTGGTGCACCAAAAAAGTTTGAAGACGAGGAATTAGAGGCATTACTTCATGAAGACTCATGTCAGACGCTAGCTGAACTTGCAGAATCATTAGGAGTTGATCACACAACAGTTTCGAAATGTTTAAAAGGATTAGGAATGATTCAAAAGCAAGGACATTGGGTGCCGTATGAGTTGAAGCTGAGAGACGTCGAACGGCGTCTTTTCACATGTGAACAGCTGCTTCAACGGCAGAAAAGGAAAGGTTTTCTGCATCGTATCGTGACAGGTGACGAAAAATAGATACACTACGATAACCCTAAGCGTAGAAAATCATGGGGTAAGCCCGGCCATGCATCAACATCGTCAGCAAGGCCGAATATCCATGGTTCGAAGCTTCTGCTCTTGGTGGGATTAGCTAGGTGTAGTTTATTACGAGCTGCTCAAACCAAAAGAAACCATCACGGGAGATCGCTATCGACTACAATTGATGCGTTTGAGCCAAGCATTGAAGGAAAAACGGCCGCTATATGAGCAGAGACACGACAAAGTGATTCTGCAACATGACAATGCTCGGCCACATGTTGCACAACCGGTGAAAACATACTTGGAAATGCTTGGGAAGTCCTACCCCACCCGCCGTATTCACCAGACATCGCCCCTTCAGATTATCACTTGTTCCGATAGATGGCACGTGGCCTGGCTGAGCAGCACTTCCATTCTTATGAAGATGCCAAAAAATGGGTTGATTCTTGGATAGCCACAAAAGACGTGTCATGTACGAGACAATTGCCATATGGTGGGGAACAATCAACAGGTACCACCATGACAACAGGAGCCAAGAGAAAGGTGGTAAGGTATGAACAGTAAGATCTGATAGATGTCAATATATAATGCAATCATTTTACAGGGTAATGCTTATTGCAAGGGAAATATGTAGTACAGTGGTTAAACATAATACAGCAAATAATCATAGTACAATGTTTATACATTTTACAAAGGGTATACAAGTTACAATGGTTATACATATTACAATGATTGTACATATTACAGTCGACCCCCCTATAACACTGTTGATAATTCCGTTTTATATGAATTCCATGTTGTACGAGTCACTTAGATTTTACAAATACATGTGCTGGGCTGTGAATGGCTCACGTATTTGTAAAATCTAAGTGACTCGTACAACATGGAATTCATATAAAATGGAATTATCAACAGTGTTATGGGGGGGTCGACTGTACTATGGTAATCCTATTTCACTGGATATACAATTTATAATGGTTAAACATAATATGAAGGAAATCAATGACGCCATAGTTAAACAAGATACAATACACTAGTATAGGCTAAATAGCAATAGGGTAACACAGCAAAGCGGATGTGGAGTTACAAGTTGTTTCTGTTGGTTTGCTGGTTCATAAGCTTGAGGTTGTGTACAAAGTTTGTAAAGGCATGGTATATTTTCCTGTTGTCCATGACGGTAAGACAGACAGGAACATGGACAACAGTGGAAATTTATAGGTCTACAATTTTTTCAAATTGCAGCCCAATAAATACACACTGACAAACAGATAAAGGTTTTCCTGTGTTTTAATTATGTAATTAGGAATTAGTTATTGGTTTTTAATTGATGATGTAATAGATGGGTTGTTCAATAAGTCCTTAGAAAATCCAATAGATGGCGCTCGTAGCCTCAAAATGGCAATGTTTTAGTAAGCATCATGACTCACTAGACAGTTGTGAAAGTCTCAGTCATATCCATCACATGGTTTAATTTTTATTGTTGAGTGAAGCAAGAAACTTTTCTTTATTTAGAAAAATGGAAAAAAGTGAGTTTCGAGCAGTGATTAAACACTTATATTTAAAAGGCTTAACACCGAAAGAGATCAAAGCTGAGTTGGATGAAGTTCATGGCACATCTGCTCCTGTGTTTGCAACTGTTTACTGTTGGGTAGATGAGTTCAAACATGGCCATACATCCACAAAAGATCAACTTCGTTCAGGAAGTCGTGGAAGTGACTACTCCCGAAATGATTGACAAAATCCACGATATGGTTTTGAGTGATCGATGAATCAAAGTGTGCGAAATAGTTGAGGCCACAGGCATATCGCAAGATACAGTGTTTTCAATTTTGCACAAAAAATTGGGTGTGAAAAAAATCTCAGCAAGATAGGTGCCACATTTGCTCTCAGTGGAGAATAAACGTAATCGTGTGGTCAACTCTAAGGCTATTTTGGCACTTTTTTGTTGCAATCCTGAAGAGTTTCTGTGTCGATACATAACTGTGGATGAAACATGGATACACTACTATACTCCAGAGACAAAAGAACAGTTAAAACAGTGGGTTTTTGAAGGCAAAAGGGCTCCAAAGAAGACGAAGATGGTGAAATCGGCCGGGAAGGTGATGGCCACGGTTTTTTGGGATATGCACGGAATTATCTACATCGATTACTTGGAAAAAGGAAAAACAATAACTGGAGAGTATTATGCATCATTATTGCACCGGATGAGCAAAGAAATCAAGGAAAAAAGTCCTCATTTGAAAAAGAAAAAGATCATCTTCCATCAAGACAATGCACGGGTGCACACCAGTGCAGTTTCGATAGCCAAAATCACGGGATTAAAGTTTGAATTATTACAACATCCACCATATTCATCAGATTTGGCCCCCCGTGACTTTTTTTATTTCCAAAATTAAAAAAATGGCTCGCGGACAACGATTCACATCGAGCAAGATGGTCATTGCCCAAACATATGGTTATTTTGACGACCTTCCAAATCTTACTTTTTAGATGGCTTAAAAAAGTTGGAGAAACACTTGAAAAAGTGTATACAGCTTAAAGGAGATTATGTTAAAAAATAAAAAAAAATCTACGTAAAATAATTTGTTTTTCTATCTTTTTCTAAGGACTTATTGAATGACCCTTGTACAACACATAATTTTCCTGTTTAAAATAATAAAAAGCAGACTCCAAATAGTGTTTTCATGCAGTGTATTTAATTTTCAGATTACTGATGTTAAGCAAGGGATGCCTGTAATTTATTTCAGTGGAACATTTATGTGGAACAATTAAGAATATGATGATAAATAGATAGGCAATTTGTAAAGAATATCAGCATCAACACTCACTAATAGACTTTAATACCACAAAAGAACATAGCACAAGAGCATCAAAATGGAGTGCATTTACTCACCTGAAGCAAAAATCCGGCGGGATCCAGTTAGGTCTTTCCTATCAATTGGTGTTTCCTAACAAAAATTTTCATAAGAATTAAATTTCATTCTCACTTGGTTCAGCAAAATCAAAAAACTTGCAATGTTTTGAAAAATTTTAGTCTTTTGAAAACATATTGTAATAGAAATAAACACAAACTAAAATAAATACAATGTTGAATTAAAACAAATCTTTATTCAGCAGAATTATTTATTAAAATCAAAATGTTGTCAATCTGTCTACAGACTATACCAACAGTTCCCAACCTTTTTCGGGTGGCGACCCCTTTTTATAAAAGCCAAGTGACCCACGATCCTGATACAATTGAAAAAGGCATTTTTAATAAGGTAATTAAAAAAAACAACAAAATTAGTTTTTTAGTATAATTTTATTTTAAATTATGTTTAATAATTTAATGTGATGGTTGAAATTGCATGTTATTAACCAGTCTCAAAATTCGCAGGTGAGTTTTTGTTAACGCCAACCTCATGTCATTCTCAACATTTAATTTATTCCTCTCAAACTCTCAACACATGTTTCAACCAATTGTGACAGAATAGAGTACCTAGATTACACTTATTTTAATTTTAAAAAATATATGAAATTATTCAAACTTCAAGACACCATTAAAAATAAAAATTGCATTATAGTGAATATTTTTTTTTAGTTTTCTGTATAAGTTGGCGACCCCATAGAAAGCTCGTCGCAACCCATAGGTTGGGAACCTGTGGACTATACTCTTAGATGGCTTGTAAAACAGGTTGAAAACATTCGTTTCAATACATAATTCTTTTGGTTAAAAATTTTTTATTCTTCTAAAAACTTCAAAAAGTTTACCAAATGTCTGATTTAACAAGAATTTAATAGACAAATTATAAATTTTGAATTATGAGTATACACACCTGAGAGTTGACAGTTTGGATCCGAGTACTTTTCTGGGTTGGAAATTTCCCACCATCTCGATGCATGATGGGTGATCGACAAGGTGAGGATCTCCCTGAAAAATAAGAATTTTCCTGAGGTAACTCTAACTTACTTTCAATAAATCATTACCCTTACAATTAACTTTGTAAAGAATGTACAGATTATAACTCTTAATATAACCATTCAAAATAATTTACTACAATTTAAATGTAATATTTAAGTATATCCAAAATAACGTTATAAAAATAGTAAACTTATTAAATAAATTAAATGCAATATGATTAAGAAATTACATTTATAAGTAGAAAAATATTTACTTTTATAGATTCTAATAGTTTTTTTTATTTATTAATCAATCAAGCTAATATAAAGGTCATTAATATAGAAATTTTACTACTGAAATTATCATTAAGAAAGTTTTACATTCAATGAATAAGTAAATAAATAAACCAAGATGACAATAAACTAATCTATTCCTATACAATTTTACTCTCATTACATAAATTATTATTATTCTATTATGAAATCATATTAATTATCTTATCTTAATTTAAAATTCATTATGTATATAATGAAAATGGCAGTAATTAATATATTTTGCCACTTTTATTTATTTGTCGAAACCATGTCTTCTTCTTGATCCTTCTAATTCAATGTCACGACTTGTTGCACCAAGTCATAACATTGAATTAGAAGGATATTTTGCCACATTAAACCCAATTTGTTGCATATTTCAATAATGTTTTGCTATGCTATTCTAGCATGCCAGTTAAACTGCAACTAAAAAATAAAATTAATCAGATCTAACAAGACTAGTTGTTAATTAAATGTTAAAGAAAACATTCTTCTGAGTACAATAAAATAACAACATTGGAACTTGACTGATTTATAAAATCAAGAAGAGTTTTCATTTACAGAACAATATAACAATTAACGACTTATTGACATTAGTAGTAATAGTAGTTGTAGTGTGGGCTGCACTGACCATCTACCTATCTTAAAAATAACACCTTCCTCTCAAATTTCACACAAGTGGATGTTATTAATGAGTGTAAGTGAGATAATTTACAGCCAGTTTCTGAAAGTTGGTATGTTTATTTGTGTTTTTGAATCAAGTTACTTTGTTGTAACTTGATTCAAAAGTGCAAATATAAACATAAAAAAAGCACTTTAGGCATTCCACAAGTATTTTACATCATTAGAAGACAAAATAAAAAAATTAAACATATAATCATAGTTTTTGATATAATACTGTTGGTATTACATCAAAAACTATGATTTTACAGTTTTAGAATAAAAATCATTTGTTTTTTAATGCATCTCTAGAGATGGATGTAACCTCACTTAAACTGGCATGCCTGCATTCCCAAGATAAACCAGCATGCTGATTTTTACCTACAGAAGTATCTGATTTTGTGGTCAACCTGGGTAGACCGACATGTCAAAAAATCTGTGAAAAATACAGTGTATATATATACTGAGTGATCCTTCATGAACATCAAATTCCCAAACTTTGAGTTACATTTTCAATGTTAAATTTGTAATTTATTCCAAGACTATGAATTACTGCTGTTTTAAAAGATTTTCAGAAAATGAATGGTTTTATTAAACAAACATAATATGCAATGGTTTGCAGTGATTTTATTTAAAGGAAAAGAAAAAAAATAAACAAAATAGTTACATAACTTACAGAGACACCATATGAATGATCAAGTGCAGGAATTTTTTAGCATTGCACCTGCTCAAACATCCAGTTTGAACAGGCACCAATTCCACTTTACAGTGGTACATAATCTCCCATTTACCAAAAGGTTGAAACCTTTCAAGAGTTGAAATTTTGGTGCATAAATTTCCCATCACAAATAATTAAATTCCTGAACACTAATGTTCACGAACATCAAGGATGTAGTGTATATACAAGGTCTGCCCAGAAAGTTCAAAAACTTTTTAAATTACACACTAACCAATAATTAAATTTGAATGCAACTTGCACAGCTTCTACCAGCAAGTTTTTTATACTATCTTCCAAAAAGTTTGTTCTATCTTCATTTGTTGTTATGTTATGTTCATTTGTGTACATTGCATTTTGTGATTTTTCTTTCCATGAATGCAATTGAGTGAAGAGTTCTGGGACAGACTAGGTTTGATAAAAATTTCATGAAAAACATCACTGGGGATGAGACATGGGTCTATGGGTACAATGTGGAAACAAAACATCAGTCATCACAGTGGGTGGAAAGATTTACTGTGAGCCATAAAGGTGCAACAAGTTCAGTTGAATGTGGAGATCTTGTTCACTGTTTTGTTCAATTCTGATTGTGTCATTCAACAGGAATTTCATCCAGAAGGGAAGACAGTAAATAAGGAATACCAACTGGAGGTGATGAAATGTCTTTGTGAAGAGTGAGGAAGAAAAGACTGACTGCTTAGAAAGAACAACATTGTGACAATACTCCCATCCACACAACACTGCTGATAAGTTTTTGGCCAAGAACTCAATGCCACTTGTTCTTCAATCTACAAATTCACTGAACTAAACCCCAACAAGCTTCCTTTTGTTCCCAAATTAAAATCTGCTCTCAAATGTTGCAATTTTAAACCCATTGATGTCATTAAGGAAAATTTGCTAGCAGAGCTGTGCATCATCCCAAAAGAAGTTTTTCAGGAAGTGCTCTTTACATGACAGAAATGTTGAATTCAGTACATAGACTTAAGAGAGGACTTCTTCGAAGACAACAAAACTGACTAGTTACTAGGTAAATGCAAACAACTTCTATTTGAAAAGTTTGCAAACTTTCCAGACAGACCTTGTATACATATTCAGGAAATATAATGCTTCATAATTACATTCCAAACTTTGTGAATTTTACAGAAATCATGTTTAAACAATATTAAAAATTTTGATGATATGAAACCGTGCTTTACAATTTGTTTATGCTTCTAACACAATAAAGTGTTATAAATTAAGACACTTGGCGGGTTTTCTCATCTTTATTTAGTTGATACGTGTGAAAATTTTCACACGTATCAACTAAATAAAGATGAGAAAACCCGCCAAGTGTCTTAATTTATAACACTTTACTGTGTTAGAAGCATATACATAAATATTAAAAATTTTATCATTCTAAATGTTTTGATCACATACTGCATATTAGAAGATATAAAATTACAACTTATAAAATACAATACATGCTCATATAGTGCGTATGAAGCATTTCTAAAACTATTACACAGCCTTGTTGGCACACAATTTGGGAAAACTATGCTGAGAAGCATTATAGTAATTTATAAGTAACTTAATGTATTTATTCTGTCTAATAAAATAACTAATATACAAAAAAATAACAATTGTGTGTTGCTTAATGTCTATAATGTGTAAAATATAACATTATATGCACATTGTCTGGTAAAGTAGCTTTTACTACAGCTGATAAGCAAATCGATGGCAGAGCCTATTTCAAATGAAACAGCTATGTCATTGGCTTGCTTATCCAACTATATTAAAGACACTTTATTAGGCAACATGCCCTATGCAAATACCATAATGTATATGTATTTGCAAAGCTACAAGTGTATGGTTACTGTAGTGTACCTGTATTGATTAAATAGCCAAGATACTGAACACACACAGTATTAATTAAAATGTTTATTTTGCAACTGTGCAACAAATAAAAAATAAATGGCACATTCCTGTTATATAATATTTATTTTAAATTTGGAGAAATCTGGAAACTTTAAATTTTAGGATTAGCATCACAGTATGTAAGAGCATATGAGATTGGATGCTCTGGCAGCACCATCCAATTTCGTGTATCATACATTTCTAGAGTGTTATAGCATTATCTCTCTATTTATTTTGAAAATATTATTGTGACATGCATCATAGTTCCCAAATGCAGCAAAACAGTGCTAGTGATAGCAACAGCAAGAGGCAAAGGAGAAATATCAATTTGAAAGTAAAATGAAAAGTATAATTTTAATAATTTAATAAACAATTATTTATTATTATTATTATTTATTAAATTATTAAAATTATAATTATTAATTTAGATAAGAGATGGTACCTAATGCTTACGTCTAGTACCAAATAAAATAAAGATATATATAAATTTGCAAAAACATCAATAGTGTACTACCACAGTTCACTCTTGTGTTACAATGGAACAGAGACAACTGAATACACTGAAAAGCAACAACACTACACTAGTTCACACTACAGTGTTGCTGAATTGTTGTCTTGCTGCACCAGAAGTGACACAAAGCGCAACTCACTAAACCTATGACACAAAGCATGCCATTTTCAAACTCTCACAAATTATTTTCAATATTTTGCATTAAAATCTCGCGACCCCAAGATTTCGCTAAGCAACCCCAAATGGGGTCGTGACCCATAGTTTAAGAAGCCCTGATTTAGGCGATCTTTGGATTATTATAAATTGAAACGTTATTAATTAAACAACATGAAGATGGAAAATAAGTAAATGCTATTGCTTGCAATTTCGACATGCCATCCTTGACAGTTATAATGTTCCTCAAAGTAAAAAATCTCAAAGCTGTTAAAGGATTGACCTCACTGTTACAAAGCTAATAAAAATGTAAAAGAGAGTCTATATTAAATATAAAAAAATTTCTATGATGTGAATTGAGGCCTAAATACAAAAGAACAAATTCCTGAGAAAACCCGCCAAGTGTCTTAATTTATAACACTTTATTGTGTTAGAAGCATAAACAAATTCCTATCAACACATTGACAATTAATGTTAGGGCATGACAGTTGTTCAGATGCTTATAAGAGAAAAAAAGGACCAGATTACACAGATCAAGTTTGGTGCTAGTTCTTGATGGTTCAAGAGCTTCAAACAATATTTTTTGCTATGTAATTTGAAAATGGTTGTTTGGTATTTTTCATGCAAGAACCATATAGGCAATGCTGTGCCATGTCAAATGATATAGTGAGTAAACAAATATATATAAGTCAATAAATATAGACTAATGTATTAAACAGTACAAATTACAACATTGATAAGTAAAATCACTTGACCAGGGTGGAAGAGTATCAACCTCAGACTGAAA